CGCGCCGAGGGTAAGCGGCTCGCTGACGGGGGAGAAGGCACCCCAGCCGCAGGCATTCTTCACATTGACCTGGGCGCGGTAGCTCAGACCCTCTGCCAGCCCCTTGACGAGAGCAACCCGCGAGTCTGCCCAGTGGGCCGTGCCAGAGCCATTCGAAGATATGAGAGTTGACGACGTGGCGTCCACAGCCTGCCACGCTCCGTCGCCGGCCTTGACATGAACCGTCACAGATTCATGTGCCGGTGCGCCCGGTCGGACTGGCGGCGGCGAGAAGTGCACGCGCAGGCTCGTCTTGTCAACCGCCTCGAGAAGCGGTGCGGCGGGAGCCGTCGGCCTGAGTGCCGCCGCGCCGAGGGTAAGCGGCTCGCTGACGGGGGAGAAGGCACCCCAGCCGCAGGCATTCTTCACATTGACCATGGCGCGGTAGGTCAGACCTTCCACCAGCCCCTTGACGAGAGCAACCCGCGAGTCTGCCCGGTGGGCCGTGCCAGAGCCATCCGCAGAAAAGGGAGTTGACGACGTGGCGTCCACAGCTTGCCACGCTCCGTCGCCGGCCTTGACATGAACGGTCACGTTGCCATGTGCCGATGCGCCCGGCCGGACTGGCGGCAGCGAGAAGTGCACTCGCAGGCTCGTCTTGTCAACCGCCTCGAGAAGTGGTGCGGCGGGAGCAGTCGGAAGGAGGGAGGCCAGCGTCAGCGACTTGCTGGCGGGCGAGTCGGGGCCCCAGCCAGACTGGTTCCCGAGGCGGACGCGCGCGACGTACGTGGCCTTCGGGTCGACGCCCTTGACCACGCAGCTCGTCGTTGAAGCACCATCAAGGTTTTTTCTTGGTTTTGCTGTACGGCCCCGGAATCGCCTCCCCTGGCTTAGCTAGACTGAGAGATATTGTGCACATGGTCAGTCTCTACAATGTATCTCGCAAATACTTGATTTTTCACGCCGTGTAACAATCGTGATCAAACGGCCCTGCTGTGAGCTGGTACACCAAGAATGGCTTACCACTGCCAGGAGCCACACTGTGGCAAGCTGTGATGAGCGTGGTTTGGCTTGTGCAGCCCATACGGACGTGGTATATATACATATATGCGGCCACGTGTCGGCCGGTTCGGGGCACGAAATCCGGATTTTTCCACACGGCGTAACAATCGTTGCTGTAGTGGCGCCAATGGCCGCCTCCCGTCGCGCCATTGGCACCCTAGCCAGCAGTAGCACCGGAGGCAACACCACCAAGCCCACAAGTCACAAGAGTGACGGAGATGCTTGCCACGAGCACCGTGACGCCCGACCCTGTGAGCACCGTGGGCGTATACGGCTGCATACGGTGAGATGATGCACAGCATGGCCAGACGAGGGATGCAATGCTCGCCAGCTGTATGTTAGTGAGGTATATGGATGTGATCAACATTTGTGAATCACAGAGTACGCGCAGCAGCG